CTACTCCAAGATCTACAGTACGTTCAGATTTTGGCTTCCTGGGGAATTATCAGCTTTCTAAGTCACTTTGTAGCAGGAGGCCCTTGAGCTGGGAAGTTCTAAACTTTCAACTCATCCCTCCCGCCCCACCACCCCCTCCCGCCCACTTGTACAGTTAAGAAGACCTAGGATCCTAAAGAGAGAATCACAGGATTGACCTTTGGGAGCCACAGTTCCAGCACTCTTTTCCTGTGTTTGTGAGTTCAAACAAGGCAAAATGTGTCCAGCTCTTGCTATTTTCTTTGAATAAAACAGTACAGGCACCTGGGTCCTAAGTGTTTTCAAGTCTCATCACGTAAGGATAAATTGTTGGCACAGTGACACATCAATGGTACAGACTTGATAGTTAAATTTTATTTCACTAAAAAGGCTCCCTGGGGTGCACACCAAAGGCAGTTGCTCATGCTGTTCCATGCACAAGTGAGGCCCTAATCCCAAATGGCCACCCTGTCTGATAACTTCCTTTTCATCCTTCAGGACTCACATCATAGCCATGGCTCTGCATGGCCTTTTCCAGCCTCTCTTTGTAATCTCGTACTTTCTTCTTTTAAAAATATATTTTCAGAGAGGAAGGGAGAGGGAGATAGAAACATCAATGATGAGAGAGAATTATGGATCGGCTGCCTCCTGCACGCCCCACACTGGGGATTAAGCCCACAACCAAGGCATGTACCCTGACTGAGAATCAAACTGAGACCTCCTGGTTTATAGGCCGATGCTCAATCATTGAGCCAGGTCAGCTGGGCATCTTTTACTTTCAATGTCATTCATCTTATGTGGTGATTAGCATTGTAAATTAGGTATCCCAGGGCACCTGGCTTAGTGCTGGCTTGGCATATGGAGCCCTTCAATAACTATTCACTAATGGTGGTGCTGATGTGAGTCTAGACATGTTCACTGGCCTATAATTACAGGTAGTTCTTTGTACATATCCTTAGACACTTATATTTCACTCAGGACTTTAATATCCAACATGATCTTCAGTGTCCACATAAACGGAATTGATATGGGATAATTCCAGGTAGTTCTTTATACATTACTAGCGGCCCAGTGCACAAAAATTTGTGCACTCAGGTGGGGACGGGGGGGTCCCTCAGCCCGACCTGTGCCCTGTCGCAGTCTGGGACCCCTCGGGAGATAACGACCTGCTGGCTTAGGCCTGCTCCCGGGTGGCAGAGGGCACGCCCAATCCCTAGGTGCAGCCCCTGGTCAGGCTCAGAGCAGGGCTGATTGGGGAGTTGGGGCACTGCCCCCTGTCATGCACAGAGCAGGGCGGATTGGGAGGTTGCGATGCCACCCTCAGTCATGCTCAGGGTAGGGCCGATTGGGGGATTGGGGCACCGCCCCCTGTCACACTCAAGGTAGGGTCGATGGGGAGGTTGCGGCGCCACCCCCTGTGATGCACAGAGCAGGGCCAATCAGGGGTTTGGGGCGCTGCCCCCTGTCACGCACAGAGCAGGGCCCATCAGGGGAGTTGGGGCTCCGTACCCTGTCACACACAGAGCAGGGCCGATCAGGGGGTTGGGGAGCTCCCCCCTGTCACGCACAGAGCAGGGTCCATCAGGGGGTTGGGGCACCGCCACTGTAACACTCAGGGCAGGGCCGATGGGGAGGTTATGGCTCTACCCTGTCACACACAGAGCAGGGCCTGTGGGGGGCGGGGGTAGGGGCACTGCACCCTGTCACACACAGAGCCGCAGGGCAATCAGGGGGTTGGGCGCTGCCCCCGTCATGCTGATCCGGTGCAAGAGGCCTCGCGGCTCCGCTGATCCCGGTGCTGGGAGGCATATTACCCTTTTACTATAGAGGATAGAGGCCTGGGGGCCAGCTGGTTTGCCCTGAAGGGTGTCCTGGATCAGGGTGGGGGTCCCCACTGGGGTGCCTGGACAGCCTGGATGAGGGGATGATGGCTGTTTGCAGCTGGTCACACACCCTTCAGGGTGGGGGTCCCCACTGGGGTGCCTGGCCAGTCTGGGTGAGGGGCTGAGGGCTGCTTTCAGGCTGGCGGTTGACTGAGGCTCCCAACCGCTCCTTTTTTTCTTTTTTTTTTCTTTTTTATTCTGGGCCAGCTTTAGCTCTGGCTCTAGCTCTGAGGCTTCTGCTGCTGAAAGCAGGTATCTGGTTTGTTTGCGTTCTATAATCGAAACAATGTATAACTCCAGCTCTGAGATCCCTGCTGGCTGAAAGCTGGGAGGCATCAGGGGGTTAGGGCACCGCCTGGGGTTTCTGGGGTTTTGTTTAGCTTCTATATTTGTTACAAAGTTTCAAACTGCCAGCTCAGAGGCCGGCAGCGCAGGCGAGGAACGTTGGAGTCCTCCTTCACTGAAGGAAGCAAGCCTTCCTGTTTGCTTTAAGCTGCCTGGCTGCCGGCCGCCATCTTGGTTGTAGTTAATTTGCATATCACCCTGATTAGCCAATGGGAAGGGTAGCGGTCATATGCTAATTACCATGTTTCTCTTTTATTAGATAGGATTGTCACATCATGGATGTAATTGTATTATCTCAGATGCTTGGGGTTCCCTATTCCTTGCCATCAATCTCGGCAGATTATCTGCACAAAAATAAAACTAGAGTTCCTGGGACAAGGACATGAGTATACCTTCTGCTGGTGAGCATGCTTGTCTTTCACTGCTGGCCAAATTCCTGAAGCCAGGGCCCTATTATGTTCTTTAGAAGCTTAAACACCCTTTCCATAGAAGTAATTTGAGGGCTGACAGCTAACATTTATTGAGCAGTTACTATATGCCAGGTACTGTGCTAATCACATCACTCATTCATTAAAAACAATAAAACCAAAAAATCAAAACCAAAACAAAACAACCCAATGAGGAAGGGATACTATTATTATTCTTATTTTATAAAAGAAAATTAATGCCTAGCTGGTGTGGCTCAGTGGTTGAGCATCGACCTATGAACCAGGAGGTCACAGTTCGATTCCCGGTCGGGGCACATACCTGGCTTGTGGGTTCAATCCCTAGTGTGGGGAGTGTAGGAGGCAGCCGATCCATGATTCTCTCTCATCATTGATGTTTCTATCTCTCTCTCTGCCTCTCTCTTTCTCTCTGATATCAATATAATTATATTTAAAAAATTAAGACTTACAAACATATGTAACTTTTCTTAAGGTCATATAACTACAAAGTGCTAGACCTGGGATTTGAATCAGGCCTCTAAATCCAAAAGTTTGTGCATGTTCTTTCCTATGGTGCTCTTCTAAGCAGGGTGCAGCTCTGCAATGGAAGGAGCACTGGGGTTCATGGCCAGCATCACAGTTTTATTCTCCTGATTTCCAAGGTCAGGTAGTTATACTAGTGCTTTAAACTATCCTACCTTGGAATTATCACATTTTTTTAAAGAAGGCCTCAGCTTGTGAATAAATAAAAATAAATAGCAATAACATTAT